TGCGGTCGAAGACGGCGACGAAGACGATGACGCCACGGCGCTGGACAAGTCTGTCAACTTGGCCGGACCACCCAAGCTGAGCCAATGGGGTCCTCCGATCGACTATCCGTCAAACCCCAAGGCGAAGCGCGACTCGTTCCCTTCTGGATCCTCCTCTTCCTCGACGGCCTCGACTCTTGTGGCGCAACCGCTTACGGCGCTGCCGACGATGGACGGATCGCATGGACCGGAATTTGTCCAGCCTTACATCTCCCCTCTCTATCCGACGAGTTTCTATCCCACTCCGATCACTCCTGCGACCGGCTGGCTCCCTCCGTTCAAGGAGGGTCTCCTCGGCTCGCCTTCTGATCTCCTCGCGAAGCCCTACAACGCCGTCGACTCGCCCATGACCGACATGCACGACCCCGTGCAGCATATCACGCTGACAACACCTCCCAAATTTGGACGCAAGGACAGAAGTGTCACCGCCGTTGGTCTGGGGATTGCCAATGTCAAGTTTGACGATCATGACGATGGTCTCGGCGAGGACATGATTCCCACAAAGGATCAATCGGGGGATTTGGACGGGGAAGACGAGATGGACAGCGAGTTGGATGTGGGCGAGATGGAGGATGAGGCGGATGAGGAGTTCCTTCCCGGTCGAAAGAAGCGGTCCAGTTCGACAAAGAAGGTCAGTGGGAGAAGGAGCTCGACAAAGTCCGCGGCAGCCACTGGAGTCAAGGCCAAGAGGCGATGAGGCGGCAGCGACTCGCCATTGATGCCGAGAGGTGGTCACGAGGATACCGTATACCCCGACTTGGAAATCAAAAGTGAATGAACAAGCACGCGACGACAACGGTGACGATACATCCACGACCGAGCGACGAAAGTGACGAGGGTGTCAAGTTGTCAAACGATTAGGGCCACGACCGCAGGCGGGGCGGATGAGAGGGTGACAGTGGACTCTGAAAGGCGAAGAAAAGAACAAAAAAAAGTATCGGGGACGGGGGTCAAAAAGGTCCAGGGTGCTTCTCCAGTAGACACGGTCAGGTACTGTAGATGCACGCGAAGACTTACGAGGGTATTTTAATCATCGTGCCGATTCCGCTTCACCTCCCCAACTCAGCGTCGTTGTCCCATCCTCATCACACGCAATCGCTACTCATTCCAACCCACACATTTCGCGTTCAACCATCGTCGTCCTACCCACCACTTCTCTTCATCTCGATACAGTAGGTCTACTTCGCCTTGTCTGTGGATTATATTATGATCAGTAACGTTTTCCGTACCGTTCGATTTGCTTTCGCAGGGGTTATCAGTCAGACCAAACAAAAAAGAAGGGCATCAGACGGTTAGACGTAGATGAGGTCGAGGTTCGTTATTCATTGTTCATTGTTCATATTAGTCGTCGAGACCGGTGCGAGAGAGAATGCAGCATTCAGTGACAAACACGAGAACGATTCGATGAGTCTAAGATCCCACTGACTTCAGTCGGCTGGCAGTCTTTCACCCGTCCGTCACCGCTGTTAGTCACAAGGCAGAGCGATCACCGCTGAGTCAGCTCAAGGGTAGATCCCACCGCGACATGTGTTGGCCATCCGGCCAGGGTTGACTGGGAGATCTGTATCCTGGTATGTAGATGCCATGTAATGCGAAAGATGATACAGTTGAGAGCGCGTCGCCGACTCGATACGCTGGTCTAGACTGTGTAGTACCGATCTCTGCGGGTAGTCAGCGGGCGCCCATTGTCCAGAGCACAATTGTCGTCAGAAGGCTATGGGGGGGAAGGGGGGATAGGAGGAATGGAGGCGGCGGCGAGATCGGCATGGAGGTCAGGCTCGAGAACCCACCCGATATGACCCATCCCTGCGCAGTCGTAAGCAGTTTCACAGGGACAAGGAGATGAGGAACAACCTCGCTCACCTGGCGAGACCACCCATGCCCTCTTGACCGACGACGGCATCGTATCCCTCCGATGTCTCCTCGAGAACATCAATTCCTCCGTCCCTTTCCGGACCGGCACGCGGAATCCTTCCCCAGCCAGTCCCTTCTTCTCCGCCAGGGTCAGATCGAGCTGAGCCCGCATATCTCCCAAACCCGTGTACTCGGCGTAACCCTGATCGTAAGCCTGTCCCCGGACCAGCGTCCCATCTTGGTCCTGCGCCTCCTCCGCATCCTGCGTGTCGTCCACTAGCCGCACGGCGAAATCGGCTTCCCCAGCTGCCTCGCCCATGACGAGGGAAGTGAGCGGGAGATGCATCTCGTGCAGCCCCGGATCGATCGCGGCAGTGACGATTCGGACGGAGGGGAAGGCGCGGCGGACGGAACACAGGCCGCGACGCGAGATGAGGAAGGTGAGGAAGATGATGTGTGATTCTGCGGAGTTAGCCAGGGCGGAAGCGGCGCGCAGATGGGACTTACGGGGTACGCCATGGTCCAAGAGCACACGGATGGCCATCACTACATGCGTCAGCATCGCCCCTTGCAGGCACTCCTTCAGGCCAGCCGGTTGCGCGTGAGCTCACTCGCGGCGGCGCCAGTCCCCATCTACAGCACATATGCGTCAGCATGATCACCTTCTCGACCAACTGAACGCCTCGCGCACCTGCGAGTCCAGTAACAGCACTCTCACACCCCCGCTTGAGTCCTGCGATTTGATGCTCGGGGGTAGGTCGCTGCTGAGCAGAAGCGGTTCTCCCGTCTTAGGATCGCTCTGAATCAACATCGCCCCGATAGGCACGTCCCTGATCACTCTCCGCAAGCCGTGCGAGAACGGGCCGCCCGATCGAAGGATCGATATCCCGACGACCTCCTGCCAACGTCAATGCTGACAAAGGCTTCGCCTGTGGGTAATGCTCACATCTTCGGTGCGAGCGACACCCTTGTAGTCGATACCAAGCGGCGTGCGGACCGTTTTCGGAGCGTAGGGTATCAGCGTCAAAGCCTTTTCAACGATCAATGTCGACAGCCGGTCCGCGTAGAAGATGAAGTCGGATCGCTGAGTTGTATCGTCCCGCAGGATGGTCATGATACCCTATACCACATCAGTGCGACTCGTGTACCCTGTGAATGGTGAAATCAACTCACGCGAAGCTGATTGGTCTGCTCGAGGAGCACTACGCCCGCGTCGGCTAGGTCCCCCTTTTCCGATCCGCGCACCAGCGAGCTCTCATCATCGTCGTCATCCCGTGCCAGCAGTTTGCGGAAGCGGAGCGAACGGGAGTCGAGCTGGCGCTTGACGTGGCCAACGAGAATTTCTATGGCGAGCTGGTTGGACGATCCAGGTACGATCTAGCCAATCGCGTGAGCCGAGTCATACGGAGTATCACGCAACATGGCTAGAAATCATAGACCCACGACATCGGCGTATCGGGAAGACGGCTGAACAAAGTTGTCATAGCTGCTCTTCACGAATCGCAAATACTGGTGTGCTGCATCAGCGCCGCGTGTACGACCAACGCGGAGCGCGCACCTGGTCCAGAATCCCATCGATGTCCCGCCCGCGTTCCTTGATATCGCGCTTGATCCGGCGGGCAAGCATGAGGTCGGAGTCGCAGTTCTGGAACACTCAACATCTGGCACGAGATCTGCCAAGTGGCTAGAACTCACCACGAAGACCTTGAGGTCGTACAGGCTACGCATCTCGGGCGAGTTCAAAGCCATGATGCCCTCGCTATGAATTCAGCTCGTGGACACGCCTCGTCCAGGACGAGACTCACACAATGATCACACTCGCACCGTAGAGGTACTTCTTCTCCGGCATGCGCTCTGCAGAGGATCAGGTCTCGAACCAACCAAATGCTGAATGCTGGGTAACAAAAGAGCACTGACGATGGTGAACGAACGAGTACACGGGGATCTGAATTTGTCAGCTGGGCGTCAGCACCTCGTAAGATCGACCCACCTCGGTGGCCTTGCCCTGCTTGAGGTCCCTCAGACACTTCTCGAACAAGGGTACATCGATCGAGTCGGGGTGATCTGCGCTCTCAGCACGTGTCACACCACCTGCTCCTCCTGGTAGGAGCACATACCGAGATCGAGGTCGTTGTTGAATGCCTGCTGGATCTCCTCGGGGGTATGATGCTTGTAGAACGAGTCTTGTGAAAGGATCAGGACGGTGGGGATGTTGTTCAGCGCGGACAATATGGCACGGGCCACAGACGTCTGCAGGGCTGTCAGTCATGGCGAATGGCGAATGGGAGGGAACTCAATCGTCAATGAACGACCTGACTGGCAAATGCAGTGCAGAAGGACATCCACCTCCCATCACCCTGGACCGCAGCGTTGTAGCTTGACGGTGCGATTCAAACTCGGTCACGCTCTGAGGTCCTCCGCTCTCAAGTCCCGACTTCACCCACTACACCTCTTGGTTCTCCACTCCCCACTTCCAGTCTCGTTCAGGTCCCTCTCAACCCTCGCCCAGGTCGTTCTCAACCCTCGCTCGAGCCTCGCTCACCTTTCCCGATGCACTCCCGCCCGCTATCCCAATCACATACGCCTCGACGGTCTTCCCGTCTGGACCGTACCACGGCGCCCGGCCGTGCGAGGCCATGACGACGTTCTTGCTCCGACCTCGGGTGCTCGCGCCGGTGGTCGAGCGGGAGAGGGCCGGAGTGCGGGACGGACCGGCTGACAACATGGCTACAGGGGCCTCTTCGTGGAAGAGAGGAGGGGCAGCAGGGGAAAGAACCGATCAATGACTGTCCGTATGAAGATTGACGAATGCAGGTGCAGCATCCCCGGCTATCGATGCTCCCAAAGAACCCAACCCCTCTTTGGTGTGGCCGCCATCACGTGACATGATGATTTTTACCCAATGTGGCACTTTCTGTCCTGCCCTATTGAATGAAACGCGTCTGCAACCAACTGCCGGCGTGTCAACAAGAAACACATTCAGAAGCATCCTCCCAACCTTGCTTCTCCTCTTCCACTTCCAGTTCGCTACTTGGCTTATCGCTCTTTCCTTCCTTCAGCCCGGGCTTTGACAGCAGAAGTGCTTCGGTGTGGACCTCCCAGTCCAGATCAGAGAAACGACCCCGCGAGCGGGCAGAGATTACGGCGGGACAACGGAGCTCGGAAGTTGGAGCTGATCGAGATGGACGGCGAACCTCCTCAAGAAGAGGATTTCTCCCAGATCCCGATCATCGAGCGTAGTCAGCACAAGGTGAGTGTGGAGCGGGGCTTGGATCCATACTCGGAACCCCGCTGTTGGGATGAGCACTAACATGTGATAGAACTGGAAAGCCAGATTATCAGCTTATACCGACGTCATTGCAAAGTCCGCAAAGACAGCGTCCGACACTGACCCCTTCTTCCGCCCCTACGTCTCGGATGGCTCCTTGCTGTGGGTCTGGCGGGATCACTGCGGTACCGTCTCGACGTTGGCGAGACACCTGCTGACGCTCATGGCAGGAAGAAATGGTGTCTCGATGCGAATGCCGTCGCCCAGGAGAAGGGTATTGAAGCGGTTACGGCGATTGTGCAGTACAGCGGGGAGAGCAGCGCACGGCAAGTCTGAACACTTGTGCGGAGGCACCGGCTGCAGCTGACGGACTCAGATGTAGGAGCGATGTCGTACCTGCGCTGGTGGACAAGTCGCTCGGCGCGGCGAGGGCGGGCACAAAGAAGAAGGGCGCGGAGCTGTGTGCGATGTTCGTGGAAGTTGAGAATACCGGGGAGGGAGTCATGGTGAGCTGGCAGAGAACACCAATGCCAACCTGGCCGCTGAGCCGAACCAGACCGATGTGCTCGTTGGACTGGACTCGAAGCAGCCCAAAATCGTCGCTGGGTCGGTGTCCGCTTTGAAAGATGTCGTAGAGTGAGTGTTCCCAGAGGTCCGGCAAATGTCGGCCCAGCTGAAAGGTGCAGGGCTTTTGGCGTGCAGTCGATAGGCAACATCAAGCCATTACTCAAAGTGCTCTCCAAGATCTTTGCCCACTCCGACAAGACCGTCCGGGCGGAAGGCACATCACTTGTCCTCGTCCTTTACACCTACCTCGGCCCCGCCCTGCTCCCTGCTTTGGCCGACCTCAAGCCTGTTCAGATGGCCGAGCTGCAAAAGTCGTTTGACTCGATGGACGCAGAGGGAAAAGGTGCTGGATCGGGGAAGCCCACCAGGTGGACTCGGAAAGTGCAGAGGGAGCGCGAAGCGGCGCAGGACGTAGGAGGGGGAAACGATGCTGGGGAAGCAGTCGAGGAGGAAGCAGCTCCCATTGATCCGAGGTCGCTGCTCGATCCTGTCAACGTTCTCTCTCTCTTCCCTTCGGATCTGGACGAACGCCTCGCCTCGTCGAAATGGAAGGACCGACTCGAGTCACTCGAGGAGTGCAACAAGGTCCTCTCCCAGCCTCAGAACGCCCGGATATCCGACTCCAACGTCGACGCCTATGGCTCGCTCGTACAGACATTAGGGGCGAAGTGCAAGTCGGACGCGAACGTCAATGTCGTGATTGAAGCTGCGAAGCTGCTCGAGGGACTCGCGAGGGGAATTGGCAAGCCGTTCGGACGGTATCGAGCGATGGTCATGTCTGGGTGCCTGGAGCGATTGAAGGAGAGGAAAGCCACTGTCGTGGAGGCTCTGGGCAAGGCGTTGGATGCGGTCTTCTCAACGGTGAGCAGGATGATTGCGACGCGTACCGAACCGTGCTGATTGTCAGACCGCCCTGTCTGAGATCGTCGAGGACGTCCTTGCACAGATGAAGTCGAAGAACCCCCAGGTTCGCGAACACACGCTCAAATTCCTCCACCGCTCTCTCCAAACCACTCTCGACGCACCAGGCAAGGATCAAGTCAAGCCGCTCGCCGAGGCATTGGTTGCACTTCTAGGCGACTCGGTCGAGGCTGTCCGAACGTCCGCGGCCGATTGTCTCGGGACAATGATGAAGATCCTCGGAGAACGCGCTTTCAACCCGTACATCGAGAACGTGGGCGAGCTGCAGATGGCCAAGGTCAAAGACGCGTTTGCGAAGGCGGAGATCAAGTACCGAGGAGGGGCAAAGGGACCCGCCCCGAAGGCTGCGTCCGCCGCTGCGCCTGTCAAGAAGGTATGTTGACGAGATTCATCGGAAGCACGACTGAGTTTCTAGGCACCCATCGCGCGGCCGGCCGGTTCGCCCCCGATCAAATCTTCTGGCAAATTCAACGTCCCCGAGCTTGCCGACGACTTCGCACCTCCCACTCGCGCCCCGCCGGCGCGATTTGCTCCCAAGGCTGCACCTAAGGATGATGGCTTGCTGGACGAATTTGCTCCGCCAGTAAAAGCCCCTCCGGCCCGATTCGCTGCAAAGGCACCGGTACGTGCACGTATACATTTCTCGATCCGCTGCTGATTGACCTAGCCCAAGGCTACTGGCTCTACGCCCTCTTCCCCTCCTAAACCTACACCTGTCGCAAGAAAGCCGCCCGCGGCGGCTGGGCCCTCCAAACCGGCGGCAGCGGCCAAACCCGTGGCTCCCGCAGGCAAGGCCGGACCTTCCAAAACCCTCGCAGTCTCTCCCTCGGAACCTGTCAAGTACCGCTACTCTTCCGAAGACGCCGCCGCCCAAGCAGCCGACATCATCCCAGCGGATATCCAGACCAAGCTCGCAGATGCTGCTTGGAAGATCAGACTCGAGGCGGCGGAAGAGCTGGTCAAGTGGGTGGAAGAGGAGGGCGGCGCGGACAAGATCGAAAGCGAAGTGATGATGCGCTTCCTCGGCAAGACGCCGGGTTGGGGCGAGAAGAACTTCCAGGTGAGAACAGAGCCTGTCGTGTGGCAGAGCCGGGTCAAGCTGAAATGCTGCAGGTCTCGGCCAAGTTGTACCAAGTCATGGCGTTGATGGCAGAGAAGAGCCCATCGTTTGGGAAGCCTGCCGCGGCGCTTTGTATCGGTCCGCTCTCGGACAAGTTGGGCGACTTGAAGCTCAAGAAGCCCGCTGGAGACGCCCTCACCGTTTTCGCGGAAAAGACCTCCCTCGCTTTTGTCCTCGCGCAGGGTGAGTGCCAGAGCTGTATTCAGGTGTGACCGAGTGGACCTCACTGATGCGCCGCAGCATACGAACCCATGACGAAGCAGAAAGCACCCAAGGCCCAGGCCGATGCGCTCGTCTGGATCAAGCAGCAGCTTACCGACTTTGGCATCGCAGGGATTCCGCTGCGTGACCTGATCAGCTTTGTGAAAGGCGGGCTCGGCTCACCGAACGCGTTGGTCCGATCGAGCGCTACTCAGGTGCTGGTGACGGTCAAGATATTCGTGGGAGCCGGTGAGCACGGCGGCCTCTTACTACGATCCTGGCACTGACGACTCAGACATATCGGGTTTCCTCGAGGACCTCAATCCCCAGCTCCTCTCCACAATCAACTCGGAGTTTGACAAGGTGTCTGGGCAGACCCCTCCGGAGCCTTCGAAAACCCAAGCCGACCTGCAAGAGGCCGCGTCGGGTCCAGCGAAAGTCGGAGGCAAGTCCGGCGGAGCGGATCCCCTCGACGATCTCATTCCTCGCGTGGACCTGGACAAGCTGGTCAATCAGACGTCGGTCATAGCCGACTCGCGGAGCGATGCGTGGAAGACGAGGAAGGAGGCGTTTGAGGCTCTTGCGGGCTTGTTGGAGATCAAATCCAATTCGCGGCTGAAGCCCAACATGGGTGAGTTGATAGTTGTGCACGAGGTACCATGCTGATGACGGGCAGGTGAGATTGGCGGAGTATTGAAGAAGGCCATGGCCGACACGAACCTGTCGGTGAAGATGCTTGCACTCGGAATCATCTCGAAGATCGCGACCGGCATGGGCCAGCCGTTTGAGAAGTACACTCGACTTCTCATTGCGCCAATCGCAAGCGTCTGCGCCGACCAGAAAGCCACCACGCGGTCCGCTGCGCTGGCAACTCTTTCTGCCGCGGCCGATGCGTGCGGCGGTCTCGACGGCATGTACGGAGGGCTTGCGACGAGTCTGGAAACCACCAATCCGGCACTGCGCTCCTCGGTCCTCGGCTGGATGGCAGAACGACTCCAGGCGGAGCCACCGACGGCATCGTCTGATCTCGCATCCTTGGCCGGTCCCATCATTTCCTGCCTCGAGGACAGGAACGGCGATGTGCGCAAAGGTGCCGGAGCCGTGCTCCCGTTCGTTGTGGCCTCGGCTGGGTTCGATCACGTCATGGACCAGACATCGAATCTCAAACCCGCATCAAGAGCGACCATTATCCCTCTCATCAACAACGCGAAGGCTTCAGCTCCTGCCCCTGCGCCGGCAGCGGTGGCTCCTCCACGTGCTGCTCCCTCGGCGCCGGCCGTCAAGCCGACCAAGGCGCCAGCGCCACGCTCAGCTCCTGGGAGCCCTGCTCCTGCAGCCGTTCCTACGATCAAGCCTCCTGCCAGGTCCCTCGCGATGAAGGCGCTGTCATCGGCTCCGTCGACGCGTCCTACGTCAGGCCTCGGCCTCGATGACCGAGCCTCCGGCCTGCCCAAGCCTAGAACCATCCCCCGGCCAGCCTCTGCTGCGTCACAGCCGCCTCCCACAGCGTCCTCCACGACGTTTGCATCCTCCAGTACATCACGAGTCGCGCCCTTCGTCACGTCGTCACTCGAATCTCGCACCGCACGACAGAAGAAGGACGCCGTTCGATGGGTCCTCGAATCGTCTCCAAAGCCCGAGCTCACCGAATACCTGCAGTCCCAGATGGAGCAGCACGTCACGCCAGAGCTATTCGCTCAGCTCTTCAGCAAGGATCGCCGTGCCGAGGAAGACTTCATGGCGGCGTTGTCCGGCCTGGCCGACTTTTACAGCGACAAAGCCATCTCGTCATACCACCTCCCTGGGAACGAAGTTTCCGCTATCCAGCTCGCGAACGTCGATCTCACTCTGAAATACGCCGCCATCAAGCTGCTCAGCAACAATACTCAGATGGCCATGCGGTGCCTCGAGGTCATCGGGAACGTCGTCGACACGATGCAGAACTTGAACGAGAGGTTCTCCGACGCCGAAGCCAAGCTCTTCGTCCCGGCTCTGATCTTCAAGCTCGGCGACGCCAAGTTCGGAGCCAAGCTCATGCCAATCTTTGAGTCTCTCGACAAGGTGATTCCGGGCTCGCAACTCGTACAATTGCTTGTCCAGTTCGGTCTCGAGGACAAGTCGGCGGGCAAGACGTGCAAGAACGAGTCGCTCGCGCTTATCGAGAAAGCATACAAAAAGCGAGGATCGATCCTGCGTACGAGGGACGATCGGAACTTTTACGAAGTCGTGGCGAGATGCATTTCGGATAGCGGCACGAGAAACGCCGCGCTCAGCGTCATGGCGTGAGTGCCCCGGGGAAAGGGGAAGAGGAGAAGCGTGCTGATCAGTGCAGACTCTTGCAACTCCAAGGCGGGTCCAAGAGCCTCGAGGCGGTCATCGAGGGTATGCCGCAGGGCTCCAAGGACATGTTGGCGAATCGAAAGGCGACCATGGCTGCGGCGAGATCTGGAGCTGGCGGTCCGCTGGTAGCCAAGGCATCGGCCGAGGCTCTCGCCACGGCGGACTCGCCATCCCGATTGCGGCGACCTGGGGCAGTGGCGAGTCCCGGAATCCCGCCCAGGGGATCCTCGCCCGCCGTCAAGTCTCCAATTCCGCGGAAATCAGACTCGCCGAGGAGTCGTCTGGTCCCCCCTTCGACGTCATCGCCTGCGCCTTCGCGAGGTATCCCCGCTCCGTCCGGTGCACTTCGCGCGGCGACATCGGCTCTCCCCACGCAGAGTCGACTGCAGCGTCCCTCCGACGTCTTCGGCGGAAAGCTGTCGCTTCAGCCTCTCAACCGAGGAGCGTCGCGACCGTCGACTGAGGTCGAGATCGAGACGCCACCATCCCCGCCCAAAGAGAACCCTCTCATGTCGCTAATAAATGAAGTCCAGCACGACGATCTGAACCGCGTGGTCGACTCGCTCAAGGTCCTGCAGCAAAAGCTCGACGAGAATGCCGACGCCTTCCGGGACAACGTGCAGACTTTGACCGATACCCTCATGGATGCCATGGACCGAGCGTTCTCCCCGCCCGAGAACCTGCGCGACTCGCAGTACTTCCGGCTCGTTAAGCACCTGATTCAGACAGTGTCAGCCGTCACGTCCAACCAAGACTTGATGCGTCGTCTGTCGTATGATCACGTCTACGCCGTCATCTCTGGTCTTTCGCTGCACCTCGTCCAGGCCGATCGACTTGGCGGTCACGTCTCGGAGCTGTCCCGGTTCATCAACATGATCCTGGTCCAGACGCTCTCCACGACGGAACGGCAGATGGTCTTCCGAGCGATGTTCTCCCTCCTCTTCGAGCTGGTCAGGGACTTTGAGGTGGATCGGACCCCAGCCGACTCTGCGGCCGCGGCTCACGCCGACCTGGTCATCAAATGTCTCTGGAAGCGGTGCAAGGTCCTCGACGACGATTTCAGGACTGGCAGACTGCGGATCGGTCCCCTGCTCAGAGTCCTGGAGGACTTTGTGCAGCAGATCTCGCCGTCGGAGTTCAGGAGGAGGGCAACGGAAGGCGTCGCGATGGGTGATATGCCGCTGAGGACGGTCAAGACGGTTCTGCAGAAGATGGTCGGTGAGTGCGGAGTGCGGAATGACTCTGGGCTTCCAAGTTTGGCGGCATGGTGTTCCGGTTGCTGACTTTCCTCAGCTTACGGCAATGATGTCGGCTTGGAGATCTATGATGAGCTGCTTAGAGAGTTTGGCGAGAACGCGGCAAACACCATCGTGAGTCGGGTGCCAGCGGCCCTGCACTTCTCCCCACTACTGTATGCCGATGCTGACTTTCTTTCTAGGTGTACAGCTACATTTTCCGCCTCGGTGAGTGCGACGCGAATGAGCGGACAGGACTAAGTACTGATGGCGCAGCGGGACACGAGTCGACGCAGCCGCCCGGGCGCAGCACACCCGCTGTCAACGGTAGCTCGCATGAGCGGACCAGCTCGTCTCGCCCTCGTTCTGCAGCTAGTCAGGTAGCGAAAGAGGATACAGCTCCGACTTCGGCTGAGGCCTCCCCGCCTGCACAGGTTGAAACTGAGGCGGAGAAGCTTGTTCGGAAATTGATTCGGTCCAACAACCAGAGTCAGGTAAGCAATTAGTCACTTGACAGAGATTGCTTGGTCTGAAGACGACGACGTTGACGCGCGCGCCGCAGCAACTTGACGACCTGTACCATTTCGTCAAGACGAGTCCGGAAGCAGAGGGGGAGGTGCAGGCTGTGCTTTCTGCGAAGCTTTCTGCGCCTGTGCAGACCTACGTCCGGCGGATGCTCGAGCAGCGACGAGCAGAGGACCATCCTTGTGAGTTGACTCGTAGACTACATCGATCTTTGCACTTTGCAGCACCACGGGCTCATTCTCATCCTCCTAGCGCCGTCGCGGCACGACACCGCCTCGCCGATCCGCTCGCCGGCCCGCCCAGACTCTGTCCCCGCTCGAGCCATGGCGCGCAAATCGTTCGGCCCCCGCCCGTCTTCCGTCGCGATCGACAAGTCTGCACCGGTAGACGAGCAGATCTCGCACATCAAGAACATCTTTAGTCGTGGTGGTGCGGGATCGGGCTCGGGCTCGGGTTCGGGACCCGGTTCGGGAATGGGGTCGTTTGAGGCTTCGACTACACCCCCCGGACAGGGACAGAACTCGCATGGGAGACCGTTGAGCGAGATCAGCCCGCCAGGCCAGAACCTCGATGTGGATTGAGGCCGGACTTGTGCTTAGACCATGGGGACAGGGCGGGTGATTGATGGGTGATGGGTGAAAGGAACCGACTGATGGATGGGTAAGGGGTGATGTTCGTGGGGATACTGTACATATTTGAGCAGCAGAGCAGGGAACACTCTGTGTTTGAAAGGAAAGACAGGCGAAAGGACAGAACCAGTGTACTCGGTCGGACCTCGCACGGCCTTCATTCGTCATCTTGGGCTTGGAATATATCTGCATCGGAGTAACCGCCAGCATGTATACCCGTTCTGATTCGCCTGCAATCGCTTATCACTGGACTGCATTTCGGTTGCGCTTTGCAGCTGCAATCTACGCGTCGCGCGCATCGCACGCGTCGCCGGATTAGGACAAGTTTGTACCTGTTACACTGTAAATATCGTCGGATGACTGTTCGTCTTCTGTACTCGTACAGCAGACCGGCTCGCATATGCGTGGGACGGAGGCGTCGGGATCTACGAGTACAGTATGTCTACCAACTCATATCCTCCTGGGCCAAAGCCGCCGAGAAGTCATCCATCCCGAGTCCAGTGTTCATCCCCATGCCCACCCCCATCACCATCCCCATGCCCATACCCATATCCATATCCACATGGGTATCCAGTCCACTGCCCAAATCGGCGGTATGCTCCCCAAACCCATCCATCTCATGCAACATCCCTTCCATCGCCTCGAAGTCGAGCGCGTCCAGGGGCAGTTCGCTAGATGGTGGCAAGTGGAAGTGGTTTCCCCGGTCCCATCGCGCGGAGAGGGGTCGAGTGGACGTATTTCCTGCTGCGCCCAGTAGTGTCCCGGATCCATGGACCGAACCAGGACCCGCACTAGCGTCAGAGACCCACTGGGACAACTGGGACTGGGACTGGGACTGAGGGTGATGATTGAAGTACGCGGCGATGGGAGAAGGACCGCTGACGGGGTATGTCGGGAACACGTTGTCCGTCGGGAGGGCGTAGCGCATAGACCCGTCATGCGATGGATGGGACCCGTAGGGAGCATGGGTCGTGTGAGCGGCATGCGAGTCGGTGGTGGATCCGGGGATGGAGGCGATCGAGGGGATGGAGGGGATGGAGGGGAAAGAGCTTGCGGACGGGGAAAATGGCAGAGCGCGGTCGAGGGAAAGGAAGTCGGAGGAGGGGTGGGGTTGGGGGTATGCGTAGTGGTACGCCTGGGAATCGGCACCTGCGCCACACGTCAGCGCTGCTTCAGCATACCATGCCAGACGCGCAGGTCCCTACTGGGGGTTCGGGAAGGAAGATACCGTGTGAGAATTCACTCACCGCCGTGCCATTGAGTCGCGTACAGCTGGCCTTCCTGGCCATGATTCTGCAGAACCCACCCCTCGTTGGGGATGAAACCCTTTCCTGCCACATTGCCGTTGCCACTCTCCATCCCCGCTCCTATCATTGCACCGATGTGTTGTGGTTCTGCGCCAAACCCCCACATGCCGCCCATCGCTGACCCGTCGGAAACCCCTGCTGGTGCTCCAACCCCCGCTCGCGCCCCTGCACCAAATCCATCCACAGATGGCACCCAAACCTGCCCCACCTGCCCCACCTGCCCCACCTGTCCCATCTGTCCCATCTGCACCTCCCCCGAGAAATCAACGGAACTCCTGCGCGAGAGCACATCCGTGCCCCCGATAGAAGACGGGGCAAGAGAGCTATCCCTCGAGAGGGAGGCAGAGTAGGAAATGGAGCGGGCGTCGGACCAGTCCTCCGAGGCGGTCCGTTTCTTCGACTGGGAGCGGAGAGCCCGGAGCGCGCCTTTCGAGAGGGCGACGGCGGCGCTGGACTTTTTGGAGCTTGACCTGGGGTGTGTCAGTGGTAGTCAAGGTGGGTTCGCGGTGGGTAGGAATGCTTTCATAATTGGCGCAGCGCGCAGAACAGTGGTGAAGAACAGATCAGCATCTTGGATTCGGGTCCCAGAACCGAATCTGATTCCCACCGCCACTCTTGCTCCTGCCCTCCATAGCTTGTCCCAATCGACCGGAACTTGAGAAATCCCTCGCCGCCCCACTCACTTCTTCTTCAGCGGAGACACCGGCCCCCTCTTGATCTTCTCTTTGATCTCGCTCTCCAGCTCCTTGCCCGTCTTCCCATTGATCAGCAGATCCGCGACTTCCTGGCATTTCTCCTCTTCCGCGGCGTCCTTGCGCACGCGCCGGCGGATAACGTTCGAGCGGCGATAGACGGGCTGGTAGCGGTATCCCGGGTATCTGGGTTGGTTAGCGCGGCTCGTCCTTGCGACGAGAGTGCAACACCCTAGGAGGGGCGCAGAAAAAAGGAATCTCATCGGAGAGAGAAGGTTCGTGCAAAGGATGAGAAAGGCCGGTGGATTTGCTACTCGTACAGCGGGCGATATCCGGGGTAGCACTCACTTCTTCGCGTGCTCCTCCTTCTCGATACGAGCGAGCTCGTTGAAGTGCGCCTTCTGCTCCGGCGGTGCCTGTGCGTCGCGCGTCAGCAGGCCGTCCCTCACACACCACGCGTGAACCACGCGTGACCCGACCCCAATCTCATTCTGTACAGGATGTATCGTAGACGGGAAAGAGCAACGCGGCATGTTAGCTCGTTGCCCTCGCACTCACCTCGGCCCACATCTTGGCGGTGATGATCGAGACGTTCTGATGCCGCATCTCCACCGAAGTGGGGATGAGCTTCGAGTCGACGACATGTTTCCTGAACAGGATGAAGGCGTTGCGAGGTCGGGGGATGTGTTCCGGGTCGGTCTGGCGCGATGAGCGAGGGTTCCACGAGCGCACGCGAGGCAACAGAGGCGACGCGGGCAACAGAGGCAATGCGGGCAACGCAGGTTACGCGGCAAGAAGTGATGAACCGGGTGATTCGACTCACTTTGCGCGCATGGCTGATTTTCTTTGGCGAAGCCGAGCCAGAGAGTTTGGGTTTGGCGGTGCGAGGCGGTTTGGCAGTGACGATCGTATCGATTTCCTCTTCGTCCGCTTTACCGAGTGCCTTGTGGCCCGACACACCACCTTTCACGCGGTTGTGGTTGCGGCTGGGGGCGTTTTCGAGCTCGTTGCTCGGCGAGAGTTCTTTGGGCTGAAAGAGCCTCGGATCGATCGACAAACTCGGCGCCTTGCCGTGATCCCCTCTGCCCACACCGCGCTTCCAACGACTACCCAGCACGTGCGCTTGTGCTTGGGCGAGCGCCGTGTCCGTGGGCTTCTGCTCAAAGTCGAGATCGAGCGCATCGAGCGCATCGAGACTCCACGAAGGTATGTCGTCAGAGGACGGATCACTCCCGCTCCCTGTAAGCGTCGTGTGTGCGGAAAGAGTTGGCGACACGGTCGACCAGCCCGACTGCCCCGAAGTGGCGGAGAAGCGAGAGGAGATGGAAGAGGTGGAGCGCTGGGAGCGAAGATGGTGCGAATGCAGTGAAGAGAAGTTGGAGGTAACATGCGCCTCGGCGGGTGCCTCCGGTTCGGTGCCGGTTGAGACTGGGTGGGCAGGCGTGGGAGGCACGAGACGGAAGATGTCGTGGTCGTGGTCGTGGACGTCGGCACCTGCGAGATCAGCAGGTGATACAGTACGAGTACGTGTACGTCGTCCATGTACGATCGGCCTCGGCCTCGAGATATCGGGTGACAGGTCCACTTCTCGCGAACTCCCAACTCCCACTTACCTTGGTCGTCAACGTTCATAGGGCTGTCCCCAGCAACGCCAAACCAGCTGATCTCATCCATCATGCTGTATCTGTACAACGCACGGGACTCTGATATCGTTTGCGTCGCTGGGTTACAGCAAGTGGGTCGAAGCGTCCGTCGCGTGAAGATCGTCAAGGCTGCTGCTGGCCCAGAGTCGGGTAGGTACAATGCGAGTATGCGAACCGCACGTGAGCTGTCCGCGGAGCCTTTGCTTGAGGTAGATTGAGGTAGTAGTGGGAACAAAGGATCGTCCCTCCATCCCATTCCATTCCCTCTTATATGTCCCTCGGGCCACTTGCCAATAGCGATATCCCCCACCTGCCTCTACGGATGACCGGACTCAGCAGCCGAGACGGGACGGGCCTGCTGAGACGCCTAGCACCCGTGAGACCACCGACGAGACGGTTTCAACCATTCCTTGAGATAGGAGAAGGGGACGATTGCGGTCGGAAGGCGTTAGGTGTAAAGAGGTGGATCCGTTCAAACGTCCAGGCCAGCGTGGCTACGGGCGAAGCAAGGTGGGACTGGGAGGCGGGACCCGGGGGAGCGTAAGCGAAGCACTGGGTGAGTCGCGGTGGCTAGCAGGGGGAAAGGGGCAGTGGAGGAGATCCCAACTCGCATTGGGAAGGAGAAGGAGGAAGGAAGGAGGAAGAAAGGAGGAAAGGAGTGAAGGAGGTATGCGAAGAGGAAAGAGGAAGTAAGCAAGTCCAAAGGCATCCGATACCCCCCTTTAAGTTCGCGCGAGCGAGATGAATTAGGCAAGGAGTCCAAAGGATGTCGGCGAGTCCGGCGAGGCTCGGCCAACGAGGGGTTTCCCGCGTGGGCCCGTTCAAGATTGGGGGCTCGGACACGTAAGCTTTCACTTTGGCGGGAAGCGATAGTCAAAACTAGAGTGGTATGTCAGAGTCACGCGACTGATCAGTACAGCAGAATAATTAGAGCGATGAGTACGGCCAATGCCCGTGCATTAGTCAGTCTCGGATAGGTGATCGTGACCAATGACATCGCGCTGCCTATACCCTCGCGCACCACCACCAGACCACAACGTCCCGTGCCGACTCGCAACTCGCATTATCGGTACGGGTATCCTCCCTGAGGCTGATAGCCCGGGTAACCCTGGCTCGGCGGCTGTGGCGGCGGGCTCGGATAACCCCCGTACTGGGGCTGTGGCGGAGGATACTGCTGTTGCTGCTGGCCCTGCGGCGGGGGGTACGCGGGGTAGCCGTGTTGCGGGGCCTGGGAAGTTGGGGGTGGAGGCGAGGAATACGTTGGTTGGGACGGTGGCGCGGGGTAGTAGGATGAGGATCCGGAGCGT